GGGGGGGGGGGGATTGGTGGAGCGCAGTGTTTGCTCGACGGCCGCCCTTGAATTAAATCCCATTTTCACAACACATTCAAAGCGCTATAGCGTATTTAAAGTAATGTTTAAGTATGGCTTCCGGGTCTTTTTTGTGATTTGTGAATGGTGCTGCAGTTATCTTCTTGCAAATCATCCCAGTGTTTCTTCCAAATTGGAGATTAAATTGTTAAGACTTAACGTGTATAATAATTTGCTACAGGGCAAACGGAAATGGACGAGGAGTTTACCCGTCTGGGTCGGGGCGGTGCTGCACCGCAGTCCAAATTCCAGGCAGCCAACATGCACTACAACAAAACCAAGAATCGTTATGCAAACGTGTTAGCGTTTGATGACACTCGCGTGAAACTCAGCGTTATTACCGGCATAGAAGGCTCTGACTACATCAACGCTAACTTCATCGACGGGTACATGATGAGAAGAGCATTTGTTGCTACCCAAGCGCCCATACCCGATACGATCCCTGACTTTTGGCGCATGATCTGGGAACAGGAGTCTTCGACCATTGTGATGCTTTCTAAAGAAACGGAGAGTGGCAAGGTAGGAATGTTATTTGGACTTAATTGAAAATTAAAATTGAAATTAATGATGAGTCAGATTATCTTCAAACATTAGGGAACGTCGGTTAGAAAGTGAATTCTCGTTCTTTCAATCTTCATAGCCTTTTTGTTCCAACTCATGTACTTTGTCAAATGTAGGGAAACGTCTCTGGAGATGAATTCGTAAGAACCATATCCAAATTCAGATATCACGTCGCAGCTTTGCAGTGGCGTCAAAGAAATATGCAAAAAGAGTGTGCTGCACTTGCAGATTTTGTTTGTTTGTTTGTTTGTTTTTTGTTTTGTTCGCGTATCTAGCCTATTCCTTTTTTGACGTTTTCATTACCGTCGCCGTCGTCGGATCTAAGGAAGTTGCTCAGGTTGTGGTGAATTATGGCCAGACGGGACAGGAAAATTGGGACCTCTTTTCTCAAATTCCCTTTGTTTGGGAAATCAAAGATGGTGACTAGTCCACGCTTGCCTTCTCGCCCAATTCCACTCCTCCCCCATGCCCCCTTGCCCTATACTGCAGGTTAGCGGAACACATTTGATCGTTCCTGGTGCCTGAATACAGCGTAAGACTCTATTCATTCTAAGAAGGAGCCTTTATAGCAGTTAAAGTCTGTATGGTTTCGCTTGCATTTTTTTCATTTTATCAGTGTCTCACGAGTAAATCTGTATACATTCAGGTAAAAGTGCATCGGTATTGGCCCGGGAAGCAGCCTGCAAACATCAGCACTTTAATGGTTGAAATGACAAGTGAGATGGTTTATGAAGACTACGTCATGAGAGAGATCAAGCTCACCAATACTAAGGTATAGTAAGAAGCAGGGTAACCGCTCTGATAGTCACTGAGTATCTACCAGTTGTGGTTCGAGTAGCGAGTGAAGCGAGCCGCGAGGGAAGCCGCGAGGGGTTTTCTTTTTCACCCTTCGCTCTCGTGTCTCCTTTCGCGTGTCGCTCGCGCGTACCTTCTCACAGTATCCTCGAATAGACCTTTTTACCGATATGGCGCCCATATTGAATTAATTCGATTTAAGGAGTATTTTTCCCGAGAAATATACAGTGAAAGACCATATTTCTAATACTAAACTAGAAAAAGGCGATCATTATTACATCCAAACACGGCACAAGGATCTTTTTTCCCATTACAATCTTATTCTAAGAAAACTTTAA